ATGCTCACCTGCTTCAGATTTCTGCTGCTTTGACTTCCCTGCCATAATGGAATGTAATCTTGAACTGTGAGCCGAGATAAACCCTTTCTCCCTTCTATTGTTTTTGTTGAAGATTTTATCAAATTAACAGGAAAAGGAAACTAAGATAGTTATGAAACAGAATTTTGTTTGTTTGAGACAGGGGCTCTCTACATATCCAAGGCTGTCCTGGAACCCATTATTTGACCAGGCTGGCTTTGAATTCATGGAGTGTTGGGATTAAGGCATCTATCACCATGCCCAGTTTGTGAAGCAGAGATTTAATCAGACGATCAAGAGAACTTCCAGCTAGAACCTAAAGAACGAGGAAAGACTATTGAACAGAACCATAGGACTATTTGTTTTCAAAAGGCAGACTCTATTCATTACTAGTTTTATTGCTGTAATAGAATATCTGACAGGAACAACTTGAAGGATGATTTATTTTGGAGCTACTTGATATAAGTCAACTAGGATACAGAAAGAATTTGATACATGAGCCAGCCAGGAAGCACGAACAGCTGTAACTTTCAAAGTCTGCTCCCCAGTGATCTACTTTTGCCAGCTAGACTGCATTTCCTGTAAGTGCTACCACTTCTTCTTTTGGCAGGGGGTTGGTTTTGGTTATGGTTTTTCAAGACAAGGTTGTTCTTTGTAACAGTCCTGGCTGTCCTGGAACTCTCTGTGTAGACCAGGCTATCTTGAAACTCTGCTTGCCCCTGCCTCCCAAGTGCTGGTATTAGAGGCTTGCACCACTACCACCCACCAGCTACAACTTGTCAAATACCACCAGAATCTGGGAACCAAGCTTCAAAAATATGAGACTGTAGGGGGGCATTTTACATCCAAATAATAACCAAGGTCATCACCTAGTTTTCAACAAGTCAGAAGATCCACAGCAAAAGATGTGAGGTAGAGCTTCCCAAATAATACAGTGAGTTGACTCCTCCATAGAAGGATCCAGGGAGTGGATTATACACCTGACACAGCTATAGAGAAAGAACTGCCACTCTGATCGCTCCAGAAGTTGGGACCATGGTAGTCGTGTAGAATAAATTATGGAACTATAAATTGAAGTTCTCTGAAGAAGCGACATCTATAATAATTCTTCAGACCTTTAGACCTTGTTTGAGTATAACTGTATGATGGTAGAAGAGACAGAATACTGTAGATGAGGAGTCAAAATTTCACTGGGTTATCTTTAATTATTTCTAAAGACATTTACTGTGTACCTCTGTATCTGATCTGTATCCAATTGACTTCTCTCTAATGTTGCTAAGATTGACAAATTTCTACCCGCCACCAACCCTAAAAACAAGAGTAATGGAGATTCTTGTTTGTCAACTTGACTACATCTGGGATTAACTAAAACCCAAGCAGCTGCATACACCCATGAGGGATTTTTTTAATTAATTAAATCCTTTGAAGTGGGCATACCCATTTCTAATCTAGATCTTTTGGGGTCATAAGAGCCACATTTAATCTGAGCCACATCTTCTCCTGGCAGCCTATAGAAAGGACATGAAAGAAGGAATCTTTCTTTCTTTGGGTTGTCTGTTCCCATTGACAAGTCCTCTCCCTCACTGGCATTAGAGCCCACTTTTTTTGGGATTCCAGCTTATACAGAAAACCAGATGAGACATCCAGTCTTGTGACCTGAGTGACTACTAGATTCTTGGACATTCTGTGGGAAGACAGCCATTGTTGAAGTAGCTGGACCATAGCTTGTAATCCATTCTAATAATTTATGCTATCAGTACTGTTCATCTAGAGAGGCCTGACTAATATAGCAAAGATGTGATAAGACAATAGATAAACCCTAAGGATTTCTCTGCCAAACTGCAGTGCTCCTACGTGAGGAACCCACATTGATCCATAACTTTCTTTATTCTTTTTATTGATTTTTGTCATAAAAAGTGATGGATTTTATTGTCACTTTCACATATACCTATCAATTTAATTTGTTGTTCTTTGCTCCTCCTCCTGTCTTGTCTCTCCTATCACTGTTCCCCATGTCTTACTACTTTCTGTCTTTTATTATATTTTATTTTTTATTTATTAGTTCACGTTAGGGAACAGGCTTGTTTCACATGTAATCCCTTCTCCCTCTCCCTCCCTTCACCCCCATCCCTCCTCCCCCACCCTCAGCCCACCCCAAACCCCATGCACCCACCAACCCCCAGGCAGGGCAGGG